AGGAGGGGGAGGGGGTGGGGACCTTACTTGTCCTATAACCATAGGAAGGGTGAAGACTATAGCTACAGCACACTATACCGGTCACTGTAGTCACTGTACCCCCGCCATGCTCGGTGTCACCACCCCACCTACACCCAGCTAACAGAATCATCCCACACCGCTTCTGACACCATCACCACTCCTGCTGACACGATTCCCGCTTCGACAACCACCACCACCACAACTACAACCTCCACCACCATTACAACCATCACCACCATAACTACAACCTCCACAACTACAACCACCATTACAACAACCACAACAAACTTTTTTTCAAACCACTTTTACTTTTCTACTTTTCAACAAAAGTAGAAAAAACTACAAGACGTACCTGGACGAAGGTAGAGAACTCCCTCTAGGAGCACATTATCTCTATATATACCATGAAATCACCAACCGAGATGTCTCTATGAGAAAGTATTATGTGACTGAACTGGTATCTATAGATATATTTCCATTGTTATCGTGGCTTCAGTGCCGCAAAGACACTTAACAAAGTTAATTTACAGAGTAACTTGACCACATCTTTTAGTCTGTTGATGCGTTGTATGTAAAGCATCTTGTCTGGTCGACTTATTTCTCAGACTCTTAATAGGAAATGATTCTCAACACAAGAAAATGTTTTTAAATATAGACGACAGCTTCAGATGTCTTCTTTATGCTTTCTAGTAGATGTACAAGTTTACCGAATGTGTCATTATATATATATATATATATTATATTATATTATATTTGTATTACAGAAGATTGTCAGAAAATTTTCACGATATATATATATATATATATATATATATATATATATATATATATATATATATATATATATTATATATATATATATTATATTATATTTGTATTACAGAAGATTTGTCAGAAAATTTTCACGATATATATATATATATATATATATAGTCAACGAAGAAGAAGTCAACGACATCATCAAGAGGAGCCTCGCCACAGCCCGCTGCCCGGCACAAAGAGAACCACACTTATCCAGACCTAACGACCCTCAGAAGCGCCCTGATGGGGTCACCTTGCTACCTTGGAAGGATGGTAAGCAAGTGGTATGGGACTACACGTGCGCTGCCACACTGGCCAGTACCTACCTCCACTACAGCACACGTGAATGCGGTGGTGCTGCTTCTTTCAGGGAATCGCAGAAAATTATTAAATATAGAGGTCTAGCACACTGCTACAGCTTTGTTCCGATCGGCTCGGAGACCCTCGGTTCGTGGGGAAAATGTGCATTGAAGTTCCTGAAGGAATTGGGGGACAAATTGATCAGCGCTACAAAAGACCAGAGAGCAAAAAGTTTCTTGTTCCAGCGCCTCAGTGTTGCAATTCAGAGGGGAAATGCCTGTTGCGTCTTGGGCACTAGTCCAACTTCAGAGGAATTCGAAGAAGTGTTTGACTTGCAACAATGATCGAACCCGTCTGTGACATTCATCAATGTTTCCCATTGTTGTGTTTTTCAAGAGATCCATAACCTTTAAGCACCTTTTTGCATTATTATTTTTGTATCAACCCATGTATATCTTGTAACCATCAAATGCATAATAAAGTACAAAAAATAAAAAAGGAAGGGGGTGGTAGGAGAAAAGCACACAGAAAATGTATTGGAGGGGATCTAAACATTCCCTCTAATGCGTTATGCGTGGTTTCCTCCGAGGCTATGGGTCCCCCTTCTTCCAGCTAGAGGTGGTACTCCCTTCCATATATATATATATATATATATATATATATATATATATATATATATATATATATATATATATATATATATATGTATATATATATATATTATATTTGTATTACAAAAGATTTGTTAGAAAATTCTCACCAACTTCATTGGGATTATTTAATCACAATTTGTAAAATAATGAAATATTATGATATCCATGAGAATAGGTAAATAAACTATAGAGTTACAAGTACCAAATACCAGCATTTCAACCATTTAAATTTGTTAATTATGCGATAATTAAGTATTGTAGAACGTAACAATTGCTACACAATAATGGATAGGCCACCTGATCTGTGACGTCATCAGTGGCTGACGATAAGATATGGTCTCGTGATTTTCTTTGCTGAACACCAGAGATATTATTAAGTGGGCGGAGCATCTGGCTGATCCCTTCCTGTGATTGGCTGTTGTGGTGAATGTCAACAAAGAGTTTCCACCAATAGGATGCATACATTTGAATGCTTCCATTAGCACAACAACCGCGCCTTATGGGCTGCTGTTCGCCTGTCGATAGTGCAATGTCATGGCAACAGATGGCACCACCTGTAGTTTTCGTGCTGTTTGGCGGTGGCCTGTTGATAGTGTAATTTTATGGCAATAGATGGCATCGGCTGTATCTTTTGGGCTACTGCTAACCTAGCCTGTTGATAGTGCACTTTTCTGCGGATAGATGGCATCAGTAGTATTATTTATCTCCTAATTCCCTTAAAATATTGATTTACAAATCCCGTAATATTTCATTAATTATATTAATTTGATTTCTTAGTGCATTATTATGATCGGAGGAACTTATTACAATGCCGTAGTGCTTGATTGAAGGTAAATGAATGATCCAATATATGTATGAATGTATTAAAAAACAAATTTTTGGATGTAACCAATATCCTTTCTCAAGATACTGTATTCAATGTGAAGAACATTGTATACAATACCTTGAGAAATGATGTAGGCTACATCCGAAAATTAGTTTTTTAATACATTTATTAATATATTGAGTTCACCTTCATCTTCATTAATATTATTATTATTATTATTATTATTATTATTATTATTATTATTATTGGGAAAATTAAATGAACTAAAGTAGCAGGTTGTAGAAGCGAACTTCATAATTTTAGAAATAAATATGATAGGGAAACTAGCCAGATTCTTAGGGCCCGCGCAGGAATATCCCTGAAAAAAAAATCACACCTAATCTAGACAACCTCTTGACTAGAAAAGTGGGTTATCTTGAGATGATTTCGGGACTTAGCGTCCCCGCGGCCCGGTCCTCGACCAGGCCTCCTTTTTATTACACATCCCCAACAAGCAGACCGTAGCAGCTGTCCAACTCCCAGGTACCTATTTACTGCTAGGTAAACAGGTACATCAGAGTGAAAGAAAATATGCCCATTTGTTTCCACTTTCACCGGGGATCGAACTCGGAACCTTAGGCTTACGAATCCCGAGCGCTGTCCACTCAACTGTCAGGCCCCTGCTTGGGGTCCAAGAGCTAATACTGAATCTGTAGGCACAAACAGGTGAACACACACTGCCGATATGCCACTAGGAACTGGATATACGTTCCGTAATTTAATTCAAAAGCTTCTCATGTAACGGGTAAACAAACATACACAAGTACAAGGTAACCAAAAATCAAATAATATCAAATTTCATAACTCTTACTCTGCGGTGTTTACAATTGTTAACTTTTGCGATTTTGTTTACAAACGAATTGGATAGTGTTAATTTTTACGTAAATTATTAACTGAAATGCTTTTATATGGGTATTATAAATATACCATTCAATTTGTAACACACCAACTACAACCAGCTCTTCTTTCCTCTGTCGCTTTCTCTCTTGTCTGTAGCTCAGTTTCTGACTGTCTCTTTCTCACACTCTAAGGTGTTGATTAAATAAGAGGAGTTTATAGTAAAGCTGAAACGTAATGAAAAGTCAGTATATCAATCTACACACCGGGAAGAGCCACACACTAGGACCGGGGTGTAGCCAGCAAGCCTAGCAGGAATATAATAGGCTTCCTCCAGCCGAAATATTCCTCCAGCAGATAACACAAGAAAAATGGGTGGAAAGTTATTCCATTAGAAATATATTTGACGAAGCAACGACTGTTCTTCCTGGGAAAAAATATTCTAGATTCATATAAATATATAATTTATGTATAAAATACATAAGTACGATTTATTGCATCTGTAATTTCCATTACCACACATTTTTGGCGATTGTATTGTATAAAAACACATTTATTCAAGTATTGTGTGCAGTTGACAGGTTAATTAGCCATAGTCGAGTTAGAATTTCACATATTCATGTATTTGAGTATGTAAATATTTCATGGCATGTCCATGGAGTGGTATGTTACTCCGTGCATATATACCCTAGAGCTTACTGTTAATAATTAGTTATCTGGAAGCATTATACTGTAAAAATACCTTTAAGGATTAGCTCAGGCTCTAAACATTAAGAGGTAAATTAAGGTTAATTTAGATAATCCTAAATCTCTTCGCCCATTCAATCACTCATTAAACCTAACCACCCATTCATTCTGTTACCCATAGCTTTAACCATTCACTTATTTAACTATTCCCTCGCTACCTTACAAGAGAGAGAGCGAATCTCACCAGGTTCCCTATATGATAGTGCCCTATGTGTTTCAAAGCACATTCTCACGAAACAAATGAGTTTCTAGGAGCAGGCTTCCGATGAGCTGAGGTAGGATAACAGCTCTTACCTGCAGTTTCACCAGGTACGTCAATTAACAGACGTTATGAATTCTAGTCTTAGTTTAAAGAGAGAGAGAGAGAGAGAGAGAGAGAGAGAGAGAGAGAGAGAGAGAGAGAGAGAGAGAGAGAGAGAGAGAGAGAGAGAGAGAGAGAGAGAGAGAGAGAGAGAGAGAGAGAGAGAGAGAGAGAGAGAGAGAGAGAGAGAGAGAGAGAGAGAGAGAGAGAGAGAGAGAGAGAGAGAGATAGAGAGAGAGAGAGAAGAGAGAGAGAGTGAGAGAGAGTGAGAGGAGTGAGAGAGAGAGATAGAGAGAGAGAGAGAGAGAGAGCAGAGAGAGAGAGGTGGAGAGGAGAGAGAGAGAGGAGGAGTAGAGAGAGAGAGAGAGCAGTATAAGAGAGTGTGTGGGGGTGGGGGGCTCGTGGGTGGTCACACACGCACCAGCAGACGGACTGCCGGTGGTCACACACGCACCCAGCGTCAGGTTCTAGACTCAGGTTCTAGACTCATTCCTCCACACACGCCTCGTCTGCCCTCGCCGCCACACACTCATACCCGCAAGAGATATGGTGAGTACCTCTTACTCATCTCTCTCTGTCTCTCCCACCCCGAGGCGTGTAAGTAATACTTGTCTCTCACTCACCAAGGACATTGATAATTCCTACTCATCTTGAGTAGGGCATTCACGCGAGACATGATGAGTAACCCCTACTCATTCTCTTTAGCCCAAGAAATGGTGAGTAACCTCCTCACCCCTTACTCCTTGGCACTCATTTCACGTCACTCACCTCATGGAGCCTATTCATCCCGATTTGAGAATCTCAATCACCATATCTCATAACTACAACCTATGCAATTAGAAAATGGATCACCCGTGTCCGTGAAGTCATACCTTGAACAATCAAACTGTTGGTGAGTGTGTATAGACACGCTGGTAGTTTGTCTAATGTACTGACGTCCGACCTTATTTTCCCCATTATGTCTACTACATATACTCTCTCTCTCTCTCACACACACACACGTGCCCAGGATGAAGCCAGGTACCTATTTACTGTTAGGTGAACAGGTGCATCAGGGGAAAGAAACTATGGCCCATGTGAGCTGTTTACTATTTTGTGCCTTGAGGGGTCGAGCTTCTAGCTCTTGCAGCCCGCCTTTCCAGACTTACTTCTCTCTCTAAGAGAGAGAATTTCACTTTGAAATTACTTCACTTTGAAATTTGAGAATTTCATAATTTCACTTTGCAATTATGAATGTTGTTCACTTCTACAACCTGTTTCTTCAGTTCATCCCATTTTCTCACTACTTTTACGGTACAAGAAAACTTTCTAACATTTCTGTGACTCGTCTGTTTCTCTAGCTTCCATCCATCTCTCTCGTTCTATTGTTATTGATTTAAAACATCTCTTTTTTCACTTTGTCAATACCCCGCAAGTATTTTATATATCTGTATCAAGTCTCCTTTCTCTCTCTCCTCCATCCTAGTGTCGTCAGGTATAGTTCTTTCAAGTTTTTTTTATTATAACCAATCGTAAAGTAATTGTGGGGTGAGTTTCGTTGTAAATCTCTGAATCTTTTCAAGGCTTCTTATTTTGTTTTAAGACCAGGACTCCAGACTAGGACGGCATAACGTAAGACTGGTCTCACGTAGGTGGTGTATAGTGATCTAAATACTTCCTTATGTAGATAACTGAACTTCTCCTGACTTTGCTAGTGGAGATTACACCGCTAATGTTATAGTATTTACATGAGTCTCCGAAGTTGGGTATGGTGTTATATCCACTCCCAGATCTTTTTCTCTAATTGTTATGGGAAGATAGCTACCCTTCTTTGTGCACCTTCTGGTCTCCTAACCCCTGTTTCCAATTCCATCACCTTACATTTGCTTGTGTTGAACTCTAGTGGCCATTTCTCGGGCCAACTCTGCAGGTTGTCTAAGTTATCTTGGAGTATCTTCATCTCCCGACTCTTCTCATTCACTTTGCATCTTCCGCAAACATCGACATATAGGACTGCCAGCCTGTGGTTACGTCATCAATATAAATGAGAAATAGTTTGGGTCCTGAGCGTAAATAATTTGTGAGGTGTGTGTGTGTGTGTGTTTGTGTGTGTGTGTGTGTGTGTGTGTGTGTGTGTGTGTGTGTGTGTGTGTGTATGTGTGTACTCACATAGTTGTGTTTGCGGGGGTTGAGCTCTGGCTCTTTGGTCCCGCCTCTCAACCGTCAATCAACAGGTGTACAGATTCCTGAGCCTATCGGGCTCTGTCATATCTACACTTGAAACTGTGTATGGAGTCAGCTCCACCACATCACTTCCTAATGCATTCCATTTGTCAACCACTCTGACACTAAAAAAGTTCTTTCTAATATCTCTGTGGCTCATTTGGGCACTCAGTTCCACCTTGTCACCTGTGTCCCCTTGTGTTAAATAGACTGTCTTTATCTACCCTATCAATCCCCTTCAGAATCTTGAATGTGGTGATCATGTCCCCCCTAACTCTTCTGTCTTCCAGAAGTGTGTGTGTGTGTGTGTCACTTGTGTGTGTGTGTGTCACTTTTTTTTTTCTACCACAGACGTGGCCACACATTTACAATGCTAACCAGCATATATACATTTTCTTCTGTCCTCCATGGACAGGGTTAGAGAAGTGTTAAACATACAGTTCAAGGGTTTATTGAACACTCAACCACAGAAGGTGATTCGGTGCTTTTAAAATGCTAAGCTAACCTACATACGTAAATACATAGATACACAGATTTACGTATGCCCTACATAAAGTGTTAGATGTGTCTTTTACATAGTGTCATTAATGTACATTCATAAAGGTGAAATGTAATGTGTGTCACTTGTGTGGTGAAGGTGTGTGCGTGGCTGAGTGATGTCAATGCGCTGTATCTGAGAAAGTGAGAGAGAGAGAGACTACACATTCTACAGCTTTTACACACTTGTGATAACTTTTACATTTTACAACACTACACACACACACACACACACACACACACACACACACACACACACACACACACACACAACAGAGCCGGTGGCCGAGCGGACAGCACGCTGCACACTTGATCCTGTGGTCCCGGGCGCCGGAGAGAACGATGGGCAGAGTTTCTTTCACCCTATGCCCCTGTTACCTAGCAGTAAATAGGTACCTGGGAGTTAGTCAGCTGTCACGGGCTGCTTCCTGGGGTGTGTGGGTGTGGTGTGGGAAAAAAAGTAGTAGTAGAAACAGTTGATTGACAGTTGAGAGGCGGGCCGAAAGAGCAGAGCTCAATCCCCGCAAGCGCAACTAGGTGAATACAACTAGGTGAATACATGGATTATTTAACACGGATGGGACACGAACAAGGGGACACAGGTGGAAGCTGAGTACCCAAATGAGCCACAGAGACGTTTGAAAGAACATTTTTCAGTGTCAGAGTAGTTAGTTGATGGAATACATTAGCCAATGATGTGGTGGAGGCTGACTCCATACACAGTTTCAAATGTAGATATGATAGAGCCCAATAGGCTCAGGAATCTGTACACCAGTTGATTGATGGTTGAGAGGCGGGATCAAAGAGCCAGAGCTCGACCCCCGCAAGCACAACGAGGTGAGTATACATTAATTTTCAAATATCCCTGCCAGTGTTCCTACCAAGGAGTGTTCCTACCAAGGAGTGTTCCTACCAAGGAGTGTTCCTACCAAGGAGTGTTCCTACCAAGGAGAGCCTACCTCACCGGAGGGAACACAAATCTTCCTGACAATGAAACACTCCTGGGGGGGGGGAGGGGGAGGGTGTTGTATCCAACTTTGTCGTAGAATTCAAAGACACGCATGATTGCTCAACCTGACCTCTCAGTACTCCTCTCTCCTGCAAAACCTGATTCTCCTTCCTTGCAAATGCAATATATCGAATTGGTTTCTGGGATCGGTGAGCTGACGATTCATCAAACATTTAGGAATTCTGTTACGAAACCTATACATCTTTCTACAATCACTGTGATTTATTTACATTTATTTAAAGTTTAATAACTTTAGAACTTCACAATACAAAGTGATTATTGCCATAAATAACCTCGTAGTGCTTCGGAGCATTTCATTAAATATATACAAACCAGTCGGGATTGTTGAGAGATAAACAGGTTTCGTAAAATTTTGCAAGAAATCTTGACAAATCCTGGCCCCTTG